AGAACAAAAATACTTTTTCTTGTTAATAATTTTCTATAGAAACTTGTTAATTTTTCATAGATCTCCTTGCTCATTTTTTCGTCCGACAGCGCATTAAAGTTTTCCACGCTGTCGATGGGTATGTGAACATCTACAGCTGAATATGTTGTCTGTAATGTTGAATGCTTCTGAACCCGAAGGCTTTCGAACACCCGGGGAAGGGCTTGAATGCAACTAAGCTTCTTTAATTCAGCCGTGATCAAGCTCCCGAGGTACTTAAAGCTCGCAACTACCTTCATTTGATCACCCCTATTAAAGGTTACAAACAGAGTCTCTCATGAATCTTGAAAAAGTACTTTGCAATTAAGTATTTCAATGTGTATACCACACCTTGTTATCTATATCATCAACCGAATTAAAGATTTCAAAGGTGAAATCGTCATGTATATAGCACATGAAGCCTTTTGAGATAAGCAGGGTCTGTGGCCCGAAAAAAGCTCACAAAGACGGGTTGTGATATATCGTGTAAGCGAAAAATGAAAAGCGGTCTGATCAACTACCCGGTGGCCGAGTGGGTAGCATGCTCGCGATCTGCCTATGAGGTCTGCGGTTTGATCCTCAATTGGGTCGATGGATTTGCACTGCTGATTGGACCCAACCAGGTCAAAACAGCTGTCTAGTGCTTCCTAGGTTTTCAGTTCACGCCTCATTTGCTATATACATGAAGAATTCACCTTTGAAACTGAACCAAATCCTCCATTAATCACTTGGAATTAAAGATTGTTGGAGTATCAGGAAAGGAGACGCTAAGAACTGTGTTATCTAAGAGGAGTTGACTTCCACCGTTTGTCACTAATCTATAGAGCGTTTTCTGTATCAATGTTGAGAAGGAATTGTGATATAGCGTAGCCTTGTGAAGCTTCACCGGAAAAGGCAATGTGGTGGAATCTAGTTTCCCGCCCACGAAAACGTAATATGTGTATAACCGGCTCAAGAACAAGCATATTGCCAACGTATCAATAACAGAAGATGGAGGAATTGGAATAACAAACGAATTACAAGTTAAATCAAACAATTATAGTTAAATAATATGACAAACAAAACGCTGTTTTTTGTTCATTTCACCGTATATGACATAGAGTGTGGAGATAAAACATCTGTACTGGTCGACACGTACATCACATGTGCTTCTTACCTAGCTTGCATGTTCTTTTTACCTTTTCCTGTACAGTATATCCTTGGGTTTAATCCTTCTACTGTATTCACTTATATCTAATAAAATAAAAATACTTCTTGCCTTGACAAACAGTCCCATAGCGCGGTTCTACCATTGGAGTTGAAGACTGCGAGAATGTCTAAGAACACTATGATCGTTACCCTCTAATGTGCATGACGGTGCTCTGGTAACATTCGGAGTACGAAGACTCAATTAGTGCCTTCACTTTTGAAACAAACCCAGTCTGCTCCTCGTGGGCTGACTCCTTCCACATATTGTAAAATCTGCGCAGGATGAAAGACGCCAACAACTCTGAAAATATTGAAATCATGTTTATATCTTTAGAATGGGCTTAGAAACCGAGCGTGCTCTTTTTAAAGTTGGGAATGACAGTTGATTCCACCAAGAGGAGGAAACCTACTTGTAGAATTACGACTTTTCCACGTTTGCTAGCTGCTTACTGTTTTTCCCTTATCCTTTGGTGTTCAGTTTTTGCTAGAAAGCTAACAGTAGTCCATTGTTTACTTTTATTTACAAGAGCTACAAGTCTTGTGGGGGTGCATGCTGGATACAGATCAAATCCTCATTGGTTTCTTTCCTGACGTAGTAGTACTCAGAAGTCTTCTTTTAGTCAATTGTTATATGTTCAGCCACCATTTTGTTAAGGAATACGCAATTCTATTGAAGCAGATTATTTCAAAAATAACGAGTCTTCACCTCAATAATTTATATCGCGGCAATGGTTCACTAGGAACCGTTAAACTCCAAGAGATCACGGTAACCGATAGTTAAAGACACTGATTGCTGTGACTGAGTCGTAAATAGTGGCACTCATGCACTTACTCAAGGTTCTTATACCCCCAGTCTATATGAATTCTTTATCTTCTCTTTGGCTTTGCTCTCAACGTTTCAATATTAATTCTGCTCTTTTATCCAGATGGACCGCCAGACGGCAACAACGAAAAAACCGGCACATACAAACGCATGGCTCAACTGAACTGAACTAAACCAAACGCAATACTTTTACCGCAGTCGTCAGGCATGAAGCTTTGATTTCAAATAGAAAAATAACCTTAGTTAGCCATGTACATCTGCTGGTGAAACGCAGATAAAATAAACATATAGATAAAAAAGAAGAAAATAACACCAAAGAGAAATAATTAAAACTAGAAGATTTTGCTAGAGGGTGCACTTGAATCATTCAATTAACTTCAGATAAATATATCATTCTAATAAGTTGAACTAACATTTTTCTTTACAATACGTCGTTCCATTTATCTTTGCTAAGGTTGCACAGGTAAAAGAAAAAAAATGAGTGCATAATTTGTTGATTTTCGGAAAACATACATTCAAGAATATCGAGTTAGGACATTCGTATAGATGATTCATATAGGAGCGTTAGGTCGAATGAGTCTCAATGAGGTTTTCTGTTTAACATTCATGTCAGTGATGTACATTTCGTATATTCGTATGATTTTGAATATCTGACCAATAGAACTTTAGTCCAATCCTACTTGAATTTTGTTGGAAGCTCGTTTGAGTTTGATTGGGGACAGTTTCATTTCACTGGTTTTTAGGGTGTAATTTAACTCGGATTGGACGCGTATACTGATCATATCTGAATGTCATTTGATCCGCTGGTGATGCGTAAAATAGGAGTTATTCATATATTAATAGCTAGGTATGAAAGAATTTGTGTACAACACTTATGTATATAACTGTACAAGCAGTGATCTTTTACATTAAACCTTCATTGATTTGACCTCCAGTATAGTTTTTAGGTTTGGTTTTACTACTGTTTATGAAAATATATATACAAAGATTACGCATATAGATTTTAATCTTACAATATACTTTTGTCCTTTACCTTTTATTATTTCACCAATACACATAGATGTGAATCG